GATTTTGGCTTATCTAAGCCCTAGAAATCATCCAACCTATCTTCCATAAGGATTTACAGTCTAAAGTGTAACTATCAAACAATTGACAAGTTATACCCTCTTATTTAATTAATCTCTTTAAGTCACCAAATTAATTCCAATTAATTCTATGACTTATATTAATATATTATTCTTTATATTATTCTCATAATATACTAATAATATTTACTCTCTCTTAATAAATCATCCTATCAAGTTGCTATGGTGAAGGCAACCCAAAAGGACCATGCACAATCGGGTCAAATACTTGCCTAATATTGTTGCAGTCTTAGATACTATTCCAATATACTTGCCTAATATAGTTGCAACCTTAGACACTATTCCAACAGTCTCCTAATTGCATGTTTTGAGAGGTCAAATTTTTTTGTATGTTTTGAGGGGTCAAACCTCTACACGCACATTAAGAAAGGGGTCAAATTAAGAAAGGGAGTGTTTCGCTTATGTTTTGTATGTTTTGAGGGGTCAAATTTTTTTTTTTTTTGGAAAAAATAGAATGCAAAACCTGATTAATAATTTTGAAGCGACCTAATTGCAAAACAGAACCCCCGACCGGACTGTGACACCGATATTTCTTTGAGAAAGAACGAAGTCACAAACCTCTACACGCACAAATCAATGGAGGATGATGACGGAATTAGGGCTCATTTTCCCCTTTCTTTCGGCAAAAAATCCAAATCACAAACCCCAATCGAATCAATTCACAACGCCACACGCCGCCCCACCACCGGCATCGATGGCTCACAATCTTCTAGTTCTCTTCCCACTAACAACAAGAACAAAGACACCCCTTTTCCTTCATTATCTTCATCCTCCAAGTCATGGTTAAATTCCCTCCAAAAAAACCCTAAACCCAGCACTGTATCTGATGATGATGTGGCAATTGGCCCACCTCGACCTCCACCGTCTTCCGATTCTGTTGATGGAGAAGATGATGCGATGATTGGGCCTCCTAGGCCGATGCCCGATCAAGATGACGACGACGACGACGACGAGCCTATCATTGGCCCACCGCGGCCTCCGTTGGGTTCGGATAGCGAGGATGACTTTTCCGATGGTGAGCAAGAAGTTCAGCACCGTATACCTCTCAGTAATGAGATTGTTTTGAAGGGTCACACCAAGGTATCGTTTCTGATTTTGGTTACTGCAATGTTATGTTATCAGAATCTTGTTGCTGAATTGATTAAGTAGAAGTAGGCTATCAAAATACTGAAAACCCTCAGATATTCTCTTTCAGAAAGCACAACCAAACACCCCATATCTAACATGACTCGACTGCTTATGCATCTGTTCTTATGCTGTAGTATTTCCATGTTGATATTTGGTGTATGCAGGTTGTTTCTGCTCTTGCAATTGACCATTCTGGATCCAGAGTACTTTCGGGAAGCTATGACTACTCAATTCGTATGTATGATTTCCAAGGAATGAACGCCCGTTTGGAATCATTCCGACAGCTTGAACCTTCTGAAGGACACCAAGTCCGTAGCATAAGCTGGAGTCCTAGTGCTGATCGATTCTTGTGTGTCACTGGATCTGCTCAAGCCAAGGTAGGTACATCTTAAACCCTAAACCCTAAAACACTTTCTTTAGGGTTTAGTTTAGGTTGGATTTCTTTTTCCTTTGTAATTATTTCCCTGATTTCCAATTCGAATTGTTTTTAGATATTTGATCGTGATGGATTGACACTGGGAGAGTTTATTAAAGGTGATATGTATATTCGTGATCTAAAGAATACAAAAGGCCACATAACTGGATTGACATGTGGCGAATGGCATCCAAAGACGAAAGAGACCATTTTAACCTCATCAGAGGATGGTTCATTGCGTATATGGGATGTCAATGACTTCACATCACAAAAACAGGTGCATCTTTCAACTTTCAATATTCATTATGCTCTCTTCAAACAAATTACAATGTTTAGCTAATGTTATATATTATATGACCATATTCTATTTGTATGAATAGGTCATAAAACCAAAACTTGTAAAGCACGGAAGGGTTCCAGTCAACACGTGTGCGTGGGACCGTGAAGGAAAGTCCATTGCAGGCGGTATTGGTGATGGGTCTATACAGGTTCCAATTTATTTTAAAACTTTATTTAAACAATAATATTATTATATTTAATAAGTTTATTGATATATAATATAATATAGATATGGGGTATCAAGCCTGGATGGGGAAGTCGACCCGACATTTATGTTCCGAATGCTCACTCGGATGAAATCACCGGTCTTAAATTTTCTAGTGATGGAAGGACTTTACTTTCAAGAAGCTTTGATTGTACATTAAAGGTATATATTTATTATTAATATTATTATTATTGAGTTTGGAGATGCTGATGGTGATTTGGTTTGGTTGTTTGAGGTGTGGGATTTGAGGCAAATGAAAACGGTATTGAAGTCATTTGAGGATCTTCCGAATCACTATTCACAAACAAATGTGGCATTTAGCCCCGATGAGCAGCTGCTGTTAACAGGTACATCTGTTGAAAGGGACAGCACAACTGGCGGGTTGTTATGTTTGTTTGATAGAGAGAAACTTGAACTCGTATCAAAAGTCGGGATATCACCAACATGTAGCGTCGTGCAGTGTGGGTGGCACCCAAAGCTAAATCAGGTCTGTTTTCACTTCTCACTTCACATAAAAAAAACAGGTTTGGATTCTTGAAATGGTTTTTGTACTAAAAAACAGTTGTGTATGTTTTTGTAGATATTTGCAACTGCGGGTGATAAGCACCAAGGTGGGACCCACGTGTTATACGATCCTACACTGAGCACAAGGGGTGCTCTTGTCTGTGTTGCGCGTGCTCCGAGGAAGAAGTCTGTTGATGATTTCCAGGCGGAGCCGGTGATTCACAACCCGCACGCGCTTCCGTTGTTTAGAGACCAGCCGAGCCGCAAACGTCAGCGCGAGAAAATGTTGAAAGACCCGCTCAAGTCTCATAAGCCCGAAGCTCCAATGAATGGGCCTGGTTTTGGTGGAAGGGTTGGTGTAACCAAGGGAAGCTTGTTGACACAGTACCTTCTCAAGGTAATCTACTCTACTCGTTTAAACATTTTTTTGCAACATACTTACATTCTTTACTCATAAAAGTATGGTGTATTGGTATTTTGCAGCAAGGTGGGATGATTAAGGAAACATGGATGGATGAAGATCCACGGGAAGCTATCTTGAAGTATGCTGATGTGGCTAAAAAAGATCCAAAATTCATCGCTCCAGCTTATGCTGAGACCCAGCCCAATACCGTTTTTGCGGAGTCTGATTCCGAGGAAGAAGATAAGTAAAGATATTGGGTTTGGGTATGATTGATAAGATTCATGCCTAGAAGATGAAGACCATGGTTTTGAAATGCTACTATTCCATGTCTTACTTTTCATGCTTATCATTCGATCGGAACAAATGGAAAAGCCTGTTTGACATTGCTGCAAACTTTTGTTAAATGTAGCTTAGGAACACCCAGACCGGAATATGATTATAGATTAGATGTACTTGAGTTATGTTATATGTAAACGGGCTTAATGAGGGTTTCAATGTTTGATCGAAGATTCTAATAGGAAAAGCATTGTATATGTATATGTTATTGGACATGAATGAGTGTTTGTGTCATGTCATGGATTGGATTGCATGAATTCAAACCAGGACTCTGCTGGCATTATTGGATTGAAACCTGCCATTCTTATATTGGTCTTCTTTTTCTGTTAAAGGATTTATTTTTTCTTTCACATTTTGGTTCATGGTTTAGTTTTGAAGGCTTCTGTTTTGTAGTCTATTCTATTATTTGTTATTTTTTGGTTACCCACTGTGCTTGCTTGAAAGTTGAAAGTTGGTCTTGGCGGAGGTATTAAAATATGAATTTGCAAATAAGGAGGTTGGGAAGAGTAAGGACCCAACGAACAACCTTAGGCCTTTTTCCCCTTCTTAGGTTTAGAATAGATAAATGGTTCTTAATAGATAAAGTATTACTGATGTTGATATCAGTGTTGCTGATATCAATAAATTATACTTAATGGATAAAGTGTTGCTCATATTGATGCTTAATGAATAATGATGTGTAGATGAAGTGTTGCTGATATTAATGTGTTTTTTTTAACGGATTGAAATCGAAGGAATGGCTATTTTGTCATTTTATTTAAAATGGACAAATAACGAATGACTGTTTTGTTACAAGTTAGAAATTAAAACTGTATCACGTAAAGCCAAACAGATACGAATAGAGTTATAAATTAAAATTGTATCACATAAAACCAAAATGAAAACAAAATCACTTAATAGTTTTTTTTTTTTTTTTTTTGGTGTGGTTTTATATACCACTAATACATTTGTTATGGTTTACTTCTACAAACTATTGTCCTGGGGGAAAACAAAATCCAAAATTGAGTGTCTACATGGTAAATAACATATAAAAAAAACCTTTGTAAGTTGTTGTTGTTTGTTTGTTTGTTTTTTTTTTTTTTTTTTTTTTAAGATCAAAGAAAAATGAGTATATACATAAATCACCCTAAAAAAGATACACACACCATTCTTGAACACAAAGACCATCAAAATAATTATAATATGTTGTTGCCAAATGCATGATGCTCTATTTTATTAACGCTGTTGTTAAATAACGTAAAACATTTTATAGCCTCTTAAGTAGCAATGAATCACTACACACCAAGCAATCACCGGATAGTAAAATTAGGTTGTCTCTGGAAAAAGAATATTAACAATAAAAGAATAGGAAGTACTGGATTGCAGAGGTAGCAGCAACATAAACGATTGGGATAACGGTGTAAAAAGAAACAATTTAATTACAAAAGAATCATATATTATCAACTCTTATAATAACAATGAAAATTTTATGACAATATACACAAATTGTTTATAAAAGTAAATAATTAAAAAAAAAAAGGTATCGGGAAAAGTATGATGGGCTAACCCTACCCGACCCGAAGAGTGTCAAAAAAATTGACCTATTTTGACCACTACCCAACCCAACCCAACCCAACCCAACCCAACCCAAGAATAGATATCCGAGAAACAGAGGATTGGAATGGAATGTTAACCGACGTGTCTGGCTAATCGAATGTCCGATAGAACCGTGAACATTTGTGTATCTACAAATTCCTGCAAAATTAAAAGTCTTGGATTATTTTCCTATATATAATATATATATATATATATATATATATATATATATATATATATATATATATATATATATATATATATATATATATATATATATATGAATCATCATATTTGATATGTGAATTGAGAAATAGGTAGGCTTACCCTGACAAATCGTTGGTCCCTATAGGCGAAGGAATCAATATAGCTTTCCTTGAGAAGTAGGTTAGCCTGCAAGGAAATCATATAATACGCCTGTCATCAACTAATTAAGTGTAATAGAAACAGATATAAGTGATCTTACCGGGTCGGTCTCGCATTGTACATTAGGGACGATATGGGAGCTCAAGTTTGAACATAGCGACTCCAAGTGCTGCCTCATAGCGGCTAAGAAATGTGTTGCAGCTTCAATCTGTGATTGGTCACAGTAAACCAACTTATTCTACTCTTCACAAAATAATTTACTTTTTTTTTTTTTTTTTGGTCCTAATGCTAAGAAAATCACCTGCCATTTGTTGCTCTTGTAAACCGGATACTTTTTAGCAGCAGTTTTGTCACATGATAGTCTACCATGAAGTGGCGCTAGTCTGGTCATCAATTCTTTGTGCCTAGGAAGTGCTGGCAAGGACGACATTTCCACCTGTATAAGTATAACTCCATCATCAATTAATTGCATCACAAAAAATTAAAATACTTTTTCTTTACTTAAAACTCTTATTATACCTACCTGATTTGTCTCCAAATCAACACGAACAAGGTTATTAGATGATTTCATCTTGTTATCACCTGGTTTATGCAGTATCCCCACCTGCACATGCACATGCACATCATCCACAAAATTTATAACCAACTAAATATCTCTTAAAACATTAGTATTTTAGAAACTTACAACAAAAGGAACAGGGGCATCTAGGAAATCAAACATCTTCCCTGGAAGAACCTGTAAACAAAACAAAAATAAACTTTTAACTTTGAAACATACGAATGAGGGGGGATTCATTATGACTCACAGGAAGAAAGAGGCTCTGCCATTCAAACGGAAGAATCATAGGAATAAGAGATAACACTGTGGCTGATAGGACACCCTACGAATGTATGTTACAGTTAACAATTATGAAGCTCAACCAATAGCAAAACATGACATGTCATAATCATATTTAAAACTAAAATGACTTTAGCAACTTTCAGTTTATTACCAGATTTGGGGATGTGATAATCACTTGTTTCTCCAACAGTACTGCTGAAAGCAATATTAGAACCTGAAATCGGTGTTATTATCATACTCTCATTACATAACCATAATTATATTTCTCCAAATTTCTCCAATAAGATGCTTATATAATAACTATAATAACAAGTTAAGAACCCAGAGTGCAAGAATAAGAATTACATTTTCAAGAGAAAGAGCTCTACAAAGTGTTATGGTTGTCCAATTTGATAGTGACACGGCTTCCTCGATTGCTGCAAGCTTGAACTTGACCTAATAAAACGTTACATGTTAGCCACGTCTTTTGCAGAGACGAGGAATCTTAAGTGACTCTTGTTAGCAAGGGCATTCACGTCTTTTACCAATGTACCTTATCGGGAATCTCTGACATATCGACAGTTTGATCTCCAAAAGCAAAAGCAGTTCTATAATATTCAATAGCCGGTAGATTCTCGAGTGGCCTGAAACATATTTTACCTCCATATGATGGAACTCCTAAAGCATGATAGTTGCAAACAGTCTGTAGCAAGTCATTTTTGTTTTCCTATCATAAACAAAACTAGTTGAAGTTATATTTACTCCATAAAACTAACTTATAAGCAAACAAAATCAACACACCTTAGCCCATTCCATGATCGTTTTATTAGTCGCATCTCTATCACTACAAAAATGTACCCCACCTTCATCCTCTGATAAGACGCCTTTCATTAAACTAAATTCCAAAAAAAAAAAAAACATATTACCCCAGAGTCAAATTCCACAAAAGTAGTAACAACTTTTTTACCTGAACAAGGGCCCAACGCTTCCATGTCGTTCAAGAGTCCGGTTCATCGGAATAACACACGCATCAACATCTGCCTTTCTGACACTATCATGATCGCCATGCATTTTTCCTATACACTCCCATCGTTTTTCCATGGCATCATTATTGGAATCATCAACATAAGTCATCTCCTTTCTTGCAACACTAGGAGACCCGGTTTGAAACCATGAAGGCGAATTTAGCGTATCATCTATAATGCCTGTAGTTATAGCAGAAAGTGTTATGGTGGTGTCGACTGGTATTGCAGCATCCATCCATGAGCGATCAGGGGTTGGATCTTCTTCTTGACCAGTAGTTTCAGTTTCATCCTCTTGGTCTTCATTCGGTGGGGGTGCTGGAAGGGAACGATCAGGTCCCACTTCACTTACAAACTGTGTGATTCGATTTTGGCGCTCCTGTGCTACAATACTGGATTATAGTGAATAGTTTCAGTTAATTATGGCGTGAGTGGTGTTTTGATTGAAGCGAATGAAGGAGTGGTGATAGACTAGCCTGTTTAACATCTCGTAGTGGAGTTGAAAGAAGGGGACTCTTGTTAAGAGACAATAACAGCGAGGTGCTGTGACCAAAAAACGACTGCCTCTTCCGGATGTTTTTGAAAGCGGGGTTGCAGCGCCGAGCATTCCTGGTGGTCTCTGAACGAATTCTTGTGTGTGTAGACACACACCGTACAGAGTTGCATTGTCTGCCACCTGTAAATTTACGAATCTTAGTAGTGTTAACAATCAATAATAATGATGCAATTGGGAATAGTTTTAAGATAGTAACCGATTTTGGTTTTAATTTCTCCTTCGTATGCAAGGGACATCCAAGAAAAAATTGGGTTTCTTAGATTTAAATTTGTAACTAGAGTAATGGTTGAATTAGTTAACAACTTAACAAATGATACCTAGTGAAGTGAAACATGTATAAGTAAAAATATTTAACAAGCATAGAAAACAGTTTAGGATAACTGATAGAAAATTATTTAACACGTATGGAAATAGTAGGTGTAGGTTATCAAGAAAAAACTCAGACACAAGTAATTGAATAAAAGTAATATACAAATTAAATATCAGAATTAGATACAACTTGCCTTGAGTGAAAATATAAATGCAGAGTCATCTCTGGTCAAATGATCCTGTTCATGAAAAAACAATAAAGAAGTTAAAATTATTTTTTAGGACCTAAAGGCGAGCTAATGCATGTGGTCAATGCAAGTCAAATAAGACCGTAGTAGAAAATAATTAAAAAAAAAAAAAAAAGATTTTCAATGCAATCATACCTGCCCGTAAACGACTTGATTTAGCTCATTTAGGGATGGTGTCCTCTCCATCACACATGCCTATGAAGAAAGCACAAATTAAAGAACAAATAGATAAATGGCTCTTTCTTTGATTTGTTTAGTATAGTATCCTACTTTCATCGCTTTCTATTACAACATTGTACTTTGAAAAACAAAAAATCTACTCAATTATCGCATTGTAATGCATATTCAAACAAAATTTTGAATGCTATAATTGGGTAGATTTTGCAAAATACAATGCCTTAATAGCAAAAGAAACTGAAAGCACAATGTTGTAATAGAAAGAAATGAAAGTATGTTGATATTTCTTGCATTTAGCCCAAAATAAAACAATCATATCTACTAATGAGGCCAAAATAACTATAATATTTGGATGGAAGAATACATTGTTCTTATGAAATATAGCAAAGCAATACATCACCTTCACACCAGTAGGAAAGCAAAAGGATGCTAAATCTCCTAAGCGCATAGATAGCCTCTTCCCTGGAGGATACTTGAAAAGTATCTGGAGGTAAAAAATACAAAATGAGTAGTAGTTATAGGCAAACTTACTTACAAATTACAATATGACATCAAACATTTTTAGCTACAAAAAGATTAATTACCTGAGGTTCCATTGTGACACTTGGAGGTGATCGAAACTGCATAACTTTGAGATCCATGAGGTCTGTTTTATCGGCTCTATCCTCCCATATCTTTCTATGAGCAAATGCAGCCTCAACAGGCTCCAGATTTGCATTTGGATGGATACCCGCTATAAGAAAATGTTCAAAAAGCGAGGATGGATCTTGGTACTTTGTGGTGGCATCCTACATCATCATCATCATCATCTTCACATAAGTTGTATGATATGCATGTATATATGATATATATGAACCAATCAGAAGGAAAATATGTTAAAATGAATTAGGGGTTTACATATTACCGAGGATGTTGAGTGAAACTGATTCCATTGGCGTTTCTGATTAGCTAAAATCTCTTGGTTGAAATCCTGGCCACCACCCCAGTTTAAAGCTTTTTGCATCTGATTCTTCAATCGTTGAAAACCATTGCTTTGATTTTGAGTATTTAATGATGTCACTATTTCGCTTCTACATCGTCTATGGTTGCCTACTGTCGTCATTCTTTGAATATTATGCTTCACGGATTACTCTATTTGGCATTTGCTACCTCACAAACATTGTATTATTTGTTAATGTTGGAAACGCTTTTGCAGATTACCATCTCCTTTCCTTTCCTTCCATCTCACTAGCCTAGAAACATCTACCATGCTAGTAATACTTAATCCTTGGAACAGATTCCAATCTTTCAACAATAAATAAAGACTATTTCTATTATATCGATCATTAATGACATACACTTTCCATATCCATGAAGATGTTGTATATCAATCACCAAATTCAACCAACTTAATGAAAAACTCTCTAACGATAATTCACATATAAATCATGATGTTGATGTATAATCCTCTTTTGATCTTTGATTTATGCAAATACCACGACCTTAAACCCATCCAATAACGTGAATCGTTAGAGACGTATTATCTCGTGTTGGGAGAGGTTTCTTCCACAAATCACAATCCTGAATATGCATTCAAATAACAGAGTCAAAAACAATATACGCAATATACATTTAAAGCAGATCAATATCTCGATTTGCCTAAAACTAAAAGATATAGGGAAAAGGTGGAAAAGAAACTATAAGGTACGAAAACGCCAATGAATTCATATGAAACGACATCTTTTTATGAGAATGGAAACGTAAAATCAAATGGATTAATCTTATGTACCTGTATAGACATGAACATGAACTGTGTTTGTGGAACTTCTTATTTGAAATTACTAGGGTTTTTTCGTTATGTTGAGAAATTTGGATTGATTAGCATGCAAATGGATTGACGATAAACAGGAAATGCGCTTGATGAAATTGGATGGTTGCGACAAAAATTGAACAAGGAATGTGTGAAGAACAAAATAGATCAAATTCTATATATATACACACACGTGCATATATACACATATAAATATATTATTTATATAAATATAAATATATGTAACGATTTTCTTTTTAGAAATGCTTTTATTTGTAACAAAACTAGGTTTTAGTGTACTACACACGCCACGAGTTCCAGTTTTTTTTTTTTTTTTTTTATTTTTTATTAAAAATGGGCTTGTTTTGAAAAATGTTTGTAGAAGTTGGTTAGTTTAAAAAAGAGTTGTAGAAATAGGTTGATTTTGAGCGATGACCCACATTTTTTCATCTTTTTTCCTCCGATTTTTCTATTTAAATGTTACACATTCGGTCCTAGATATTGAATTACCTCTTCAACTTGTATCTTCATTTTTACTTAAATCTTTTACTATACTATTTAACTTTTATCATTGTTATGTATTATATATAAATTAATTTAATCCAAAATATATTATTATAGCTTATGTATTATTCTTAACAACTTACACCATTAAATAGATCTTACAAATATCTTCAAATAGATACCAATATTGAATATATTATAATGTTATGAAATTATAAAACCAATTAAAAATGATATTACAATACAACTTAAATATTAGAATGTATTTGTAAGGGAAAATTTTGTTGGTATAATATTATAAGCATAGTTATGTCACTTTCATGATTCCACTACAAAGGCCCGTCATGATTCCACTGCAAATGCTAACTTATCATACAAACAATTATCGATATTTATGAAACCCAGTAAAAGTAAGTGAGTGAATTGTCAAATCAATTCACTTTTTGTTATTATAAATTTCAACTCTTATACTCACTTTTATCCACCTCATTCCATCCTGAAAAAAATTCTCTTACAAATTTAAACTTATGTTCTTTCCTTCTTAATCATGCTCATCATTCAATCATCTATAACCAGGTACGTATTATTTAGCATTATGACTCTAGATAATCCATTTATGATTGTTTTATATTGAGGTGATAATATTGAAAATGAGAATGGTATCGTAAAGGGTGACCATTCAACTTTTAGTTCTTCATATATCATTAGGCATAAAATGGGGTATGAAGAATTTAAAGATTTATGTTATGCTTATGTTGGAGTTGAAAAAACGACATATAAGTTGAATATTTCACTATGTTATCGGTTTGGTGATCAATCCAATATTACACGGGTCATAAATGATTCAAGTCTAGATGTAATGTATTATTTGGTTGAGAATGTTGAAAATTAAGTTTTAACTGAAGTTGAACAAATAATGCTGCCTACAAATCCTAGTTTGGTAAATCTCCTTTGTAATTTTGAACCAAATCTGTCAAATACACTATTTCCTTTGCCTGATTGTGATAAATTTGACGGAGATAATTATGAAGCCAACTTACTATATAATGAAGATACTAGTAGTGAGTCTAATGTTGGGGGTGATTATGATTATGATGGTGTGTGTAAATCTCTAGTTGTGAACTTTATGAGTGATGTTAGAGATATAGAAGACGATAATAGCGTCGATTTGGAAGACCACATTTCTATAGATGTTTGAAAGGAGTTAGAAAACAAAATTAGGAATGCAATTTGAAAGTAAGTTGTAAGTACAAAAAGCAGTAAAACTTAGGTCTGTAAAAAAATAGAGTTCAAAGTGTATGATAGTAAGCCTAACTTATGGGTAGCAAAGTGTAGGACTCTTGGAAATGAAGGAAAAGCTCTATTAGTGTGCATTATACACCACGTTGTGCATGGTATGTTTATCCAGTTAAGAAGAAAAATGATGACATGTGGAAGATCATGCATTTGGTGGATACATACAATTGTTTTGGTTCATGTATTGGCAATAATAATAGAAGTCTAAATTCCGCAACTATTACCTTATATATATATATATATATATATATATATATATATATATATATATATATATATCCTCCATTCAATTAAACAAGATGTTGCTTATCCAATGAAACATATACAATCTAAAATTAAAACCACCTTGAATATTGATATTACTTATGAAAAGGCATGGCATGGTAGGAGAAAAACCATAGAGGGTATTTATGGAACTTGGGAGAATAACTTTGATGAGTTGCCTAAGTACATTGTAGCTTTGCAGAATTCAAATCCTAATATGGTTGTGAAGTGGTTTCATTGTCCAAATAGCTCATCATATGTAGCCACATTCAAATATGTTTTTGGGCTTTTGGAACCACTATTGATGTAGTTTGTCTATGCTGACCTGTTATTTCATTCAATGCTTGCCATTTGAAGGATTCATATAGAGAGAAAATTCATGTTGTTGTCATAAAAGATGCTAACAATAGTATATTACCTTTTTCATATGTTATCGTTGATGAAGAGACTTCACATAGTTGGGATTGGTTCTTTTACCAACTCAGACATTTTATTGTCTAAGACAGACAATTATGTGTTATTTCAGATAGACACAAAGGAATAATTAATGCAATGGAAAATCTATAGGATTAGAAAGATCCATTTGCATACCATCGGTTCTATCTTCAACACATTAGAAGTAATTTCATGCAAAAAATACAAGAATATGAGTCTTAAAAAACTTTGTTGGTCTATTGGCAGCACCAAACAATAAAGAAAGTATGTTACATATATGAAAGAAATAAAAAAAAATTGATCTTGAAACTTGGAAGTATTTAAAGGAAATTAGAAGAGGTCAATGGTGTTTTTTATTTGATGAAAATCGTCGATAGGGTATGTTGACAACAAATATCTCTAAGAGTATGAACAATGCACTTCGAGGGGCAAGACAATTACCAATTAGGGTGTGTATTGGCCTTATATTCAATAAAACTATACATCTTTTTAGAAAGTACAGTGATGTTTCAATGAATAGTAATACACCTCTACCATCATGTATGTAGTGTCTATTTCGGAAACAAGAAATTCATGCACAAAGCCATATATTAACCAAGTTTGACTACAAAGAATATGTCTACATAATTGTCAAAAAGTTACAGATAAATGGAAAAGGGGGAAAATGCTCAAATTATCCATTTTTATCAACAAACATGTATATGTGTTAAGTTGCAAATGCAAAGATTTCCTTATTCGCATGTTATTGTAGTTTGCAGTTATAAATGTGATAACCCTCTTTCTATTATAAATATTGTGTACACTACTATGCCGTATAGACAAAAATATACGTCTTCTTTTGTCCCACTTCCTCATGTTGATTATTGATCTGAGTCAGATTGAAAGATTAAAGCAGATGATTTAAATCTTTTGTTCATCGAGGCCGAAAGCATTCAAATCGATTTCATAATGAAATGAACATTCGTCGTCTTCGCTAACCTAAAAAACGTAGATTGTGCCATCAACCTGGTCATAATAGAAAGAGTTGTTCAAATTCTCAACCAAGATTCAACGTGATGTGGACTTTGTAACATTTTTAATTAATATTGTTAGTTGGTGTTTAATTATTATTGTAATTTATGTTGAAGTTGTATTGTAATTTTCTTTTCAATTGGTCTTGTAATTTTGTAACGTTGCAATATATTCAATATTGATATCTATTTGAAGATATTTGTAAGATATATTTAATGGTGTAAGTTGTTAAAAATAATATTTAAGCTATAATCATATATTATGGACTAAATTAATTTATGTATCATATATGACAAGGGTAAAAGTTAGTTAATAGTAAAATATATAAATATATATATATATATATATATATATATATATATATATATATATATATATATATATATATATATATATATAAAAGTTAAAAGGGCAAAATGTATAATATTTAGGTGTTAAATATGTAATATTTCAAAAAGAATACTAAATCAGTCTATTTCTACAACTCTTTTTCAAACTAACTTATTTCTACAAACATACTTTAAAAAAAAACTCTCACGAGTTCACTAAAAATAGAAATTTAATATAAAATTAGAATGATAGAATCAGTTGGACGCGTGATAGACTAATACTACCTCCATCCCAAATTAACTGTCCATATTTGACTTTTAAAGTCTTTATTTTTCAACTTTGACTTTAAATAGTTTTGTTTTTGATAGATAATATTTGATGGAAAATATATGAATGAATTGTATTTTAAATGTCTTTATATTTTTATAAGTTTCATCAAGTAATGTATAAAACAAATAAAAATATTTAAGGTCAAAGTTAAAGAAAAAAGACTTTAAAAGTTAAAAGTGTACAATTAATTTGGGACAGATAGAGTATCATGATTTAAGATTTAATTATATGAGATTTGAAAAAAAGGAAGAAAGAAATGGTTGTAGATAATTTATTCTCACATTTAATAAAATGATCTACCTTACATATATAAATCCTTAGTTAAGTATGGATTTTAAATTTAAGAAAATGAAAAACATGACATGTGGAAAAATATAATTTTAAAAAATACAAGAAAATGACAAGTAGAAAAATATAATTTAAAAAATTCAAGAAAATGGCGTGTGCCAAATTCAATGAGAACATGACATTTGACAAAAAATGATTTTCATTTATTATGTTAGATTTTCTCTTTAAAACGTTTTTATATGTAACAAAAATAGGTGAGAGACCCGTGTATATTGTACTATACGAGTTTATTAAAAATAAAAGTTTAATATAAAGTTAGAATGATAAATCAGTTGGACGTTTGATACCATGATTTAAGATTTAATTCTAGGAGATTTGAAAATTAGAAGAAAGAAACAGTTGTAGAGCATTTATTCCAAAATTTAGTAGATTGATCTACCTTACATATATAATGTTGGATTAAGTGTCTAAATCAATAACTGAATTAATATCTGCTTGAATTGTTAACAAAGTTCTTTTTGGTTGCCTTCAAATCTAGTAATTAAAAAGAATGACTTTTAGAGAGAAAGATTATGTGATTAATAAATTAATTAGAAACCAAAATAAAATGATTTATTAATATGTTATGAAAATAATATATTAATTAGAAATTGTATTATTTAATTAATAATTGATCAGAAATTA